GTTGAATATTGTTATAAAAATATTTTCTTTTAATCTTTTATTAATACCTAATGATTGGAGAGGCTTTCATTTTGTCGACATTACAATGAATAACAATATAATCAACTATATAATAACAATAAATATAATATAATAACACATGTAATAGTTTCTATTTACAACATAGAACTATAAATAAAAGATTTTTACGTTTAAATACCTTAAATGAAATGAGTTTTAAATTAAAATTGACTGGTAAAACTCTGATAACACAGCGATATCATTTATTATCAAAATGTTAACCTATATCAAAAATTAATGAAACGAAATCCTCATGTAATGTTAAAATTATTTAAATTGGCCAACCCTTAATGTCGACCTAATATGAAGCAACAAAATCCTCTGTTAATTGTCAGTGCTCTATTAAGCTGGAATGAATATACGTTTTCCAACCTAAAGATGTTAACCCCAGCAATAAAATAAAGGAGTCTTAAGAAAACAATATAATGATCAGTAAATCACTTAAAATCTCAACGAAGCAAAATACATAGGATAACAGCACAGAGAAGGAAAACTTGACACAAACCATATACTTCTTTTTTTTTGTTTTATTTTGTTAACGGGGTGGAAGATCCTCATGGACGTCTTCCGCCCATTTTGGGATGACGAAGGGGTCCTTTACTGACTAAAAACCAGCCCGGTGTTCCTCTCCTTGCTAATGGCCGGGGAAGCGAGAATTGCAATTGCATTCTTCCGCCGATTGCATTCTTTCGCCAAACCCTATACCTTCCCGTCTGGCTAGCGTGGTATAATAGAGCAACACCTCCTTTCTATGGAGGGGCCTATGTTCAACAGGAGACTATAAAGGCTGTTTAAGATGTGAGGCGATTCACGTTTTCATCCTCCAAGGGGTAGACAGGGGTCAATTAAAACGCCCACATTTTGCCGACCATAATTTAACTATACATATCCATAACATAATTTACTTTGCCGACTAAAATACCTATTTTATTGTAATACCTTAAATTAATACAGTTAACTAACTTTATAGAGTATTCAGGCATATTTCAAACAGCAAAAAAATGTAATGAAAATATTTTTTATAAGTTGAATTTAAACTAAGCCTAAGTTTGACTTTGTTTATATAACTAACGTGAGAATTTTCTAATACAAAAAAGTACCTCAATCAGTCATGGCTTTAATCATTAAAGCGATGACTTTTGATGAAATATTTATACATTAAAGTTTAATGTATAAATATATCATGAAACAAGCCATTTTTGTATAAGTGTAAAATACCACAAGTTATTAGATAATGTGCCCATTTTTCAGACTTGAAAAGTTGCTTTCAAAGTTGTGAAGCTTGGTAAATCGTCATTATTTGCGGCCAGGCAAGGAAATTCATTGCTCATTTTATAAATTTACTGATGCATTTGTAAAACTGCGGAGTTCCAATATTGGATCGTAATGCTCGTCTGTCTCTATTAAAGTATTTTAAGAAATTTTCGAAGCGCAGTGAAGGCGTTTTTTACCTTAAAAGGAATCATTAAGTTAGTGAATTATCAATCATGATTAAAAAGCTCGACAGTCTTTCGGCAATCGCCAGTTCGAGTTACAGATGCAATTTCTCCATGCTCGTATATCCTAAAGTGCCCCCTACGACGGCATAAGGCTTACACTGTATTACGTAAGTGGGACTAAAATTATAGTCTGCGAAATGTAACCCTTTAATAAGTCTCTGTCTATCCATTCGTACATATATACGAGAGTTCATATGCATGTACACATAAAATGGATATATAAAAGACGTTCAATTAATAAGAAAAAACGGAATATAGATTGTTTAGCATTTTGTTTATTTTTTATTTTATGTATATTAAACATATTATTAAAAGTACATTTAATTACAAGATATAAGGAATTTTATAAGTAATTACATATAAAACCTGAAGTTCAATACAAAAATCGTGTTTGCATATACTCGTAATTGCAAAGAATAACTTTTATAATATGTTGTAAAGTCTTACGAGATATTTTACTAGTTTTTTGATGCATAATGTGACTTTATTTATTTTGTTTACAGATTTCTACTGAGATCCAAATTAGCGACCCCGTACTCTAATTAACAGAACCCGTTGGGTAAATTGGAACAAAGCTACAATCTTCCGTCTGTTGATTTTTGAACTAAGTATATTTAGCTAGTTAATGACAATGAAGTAAATCCTCTAATATTTTACTCTTAAAATTGTGTTTATCTCAGTTTACTCATGAAATTAATTTGAAAAATTATTTTTGAAAAGTTCTCAGTAAACCATTTATAGGGTGTGGTATATTTTGATTTATTTTCATTCTTCAACCTTTTGCTATCGAAATTAGCGATATATATGTAATAGATCTATGATTGTTATTTTGTTTTTTGTTGTTAATTTAGATGCTACAGAGTTCTTTAAGTGCGTACATCCGGTTTAGATTCGACGATTGCCCTCTTCGAATTTGCACTAGTGCGCTATCCTTTTAGACTACGAGTATTTGCACTAGGTATATACGCGTCAACAACTTCAAGAACTAAATTGGTAACTCTAACGGGGGTAGGTACATCACGAACGTTTGACATAACCTTCGTCTTATTCATCATGAAGGTGAGTGTTGTAATTAATTTACCGTTTACTCTGATGCCGAATACTTGACATTCCAGGGGCCTAGAGTTTACTTTGAAAGTGACAGTAAGCAGTTTCAGTTTTAGATATCTCCCTGTCTTGTGCTTTTTCTTAAAGAAGTTATCTGCGAACTCCACTCCTATGTACTAACCCACCATTCAAATAGGCACAACTTTTTAATACTCGTAAAATACTTTATTTTGTAGTCACTGGGTTTCAAGACCAACCTGGGTTTCAAGACCAACCTATAATAAATCTTATTATTAATAGTTCATTTAAAAGTTTTATGATCCTGATATGCGTTTTCACTTACTCTCTAAAAATATTTCAGCAAATTATGCCCTTATTATTATAAATTTGTATATAAGCCCTTTCGGTAACTGAATCTATGAAATATTCTCTGTTACTGAAATATTATTTTATTACGAAATATAATCTTTGTTCCAAGTGTTCACCAACCCCAGTCATATAGCAAGTAAGGTCACTCTGAGACTGGCGTAAACGTCAATCAACATTAAAGCAAGCAGGGCGGAAATTACGACGCCGAGACTTTGTCGAGAAGGAACCGACAATAAAACTGTTGCAACACGTACCGACATACGGAAAGAATCTAGACGTTCTCAGTTGCTACTTGACTATTTTTGTAATGCTTATAACGCTCGTGAACATTTTATTATACGTTTTAATGTTTACGAGCCCGATGTTTAACATCTGACAGTACGTAATCCGTACTTATGCATTTTAACGAAATTTTAAATATTCTTGGCTTTATTGCGTATCTGCAGTCAAATAATGACAGAAATATCTTTGAAAATATTTATTCTCAAGTACACAATTCGTCTGGTAGTATGCGATATCCAATGCAAAACTCGTAAGACCAGGGAAGTAAGAGATATTTATAATGTCGGAACTCTGAAGGTATCACTAACTATCAGAAGCTGGTACTACTGGTTAGATTACCTCAAATTTTTTTGTTTCAATTCCGCTCTATATCTTTATTGGAAACAGTTTTATTTTAGATTGGTGCAGGTATTATTAGAGTTTTTGGATAAAAAAATACGAGAACTTCAGCGAGCTTAAAACATACGTATACACTATTAGAAATAAATTAAAAATAGAATCCAGAAGTAGCAATAACACATTTTAATATTGCCATTAGTTTTCAATAAGGCGTTTTGGCTGTAACAGATTTTTCAGTTATGAGGAAATACTCGTAGTAAATCATGTAAATGTTCAAATCATATTGTAGAATGTGTTAGGGAAGCTTTACTCTTATTTACTTACTTTTATATACTAACTGACTTGGTGTAGGAGCTCCATTGAAGTTGTAGCTGTAATATCTGATGTCTTCAAAATTGGGTTTTACTATAAATAAATTTAACTATTAAAAAATATATGTTTAATAAACCAACGGTAAATAAAAAAACTGATCAAATAACACAACCCTTATAAAATATAATAGATACAAATTTGTTGGGGCGCTATTTGGACTTGGATTAATGATAAAACTTTTTCAAGATTTCGATGAATTGATTACCTACTTTTTAACATTACAAATGGTTAAAATGCGGCGTTTAGTAATTTCATTACTTAAGTTAGGTCGAGTGGCGACAATCCGTGAGTATCAGATGTTAGGGTGGAATCTATTACGAGGCGCGCCGATTCGCCCCCTCATCCGGAAATTATAACTGCTAACTCGGTCGATCATGTTGCTGGTAAAAGAGTGGAAATATCGTAATCCTTCTAGTTCTAACAGGATTGGATTTTTATTTCTTGATAATTTTACCAAAACGTTTATTAGTTTTTCACATCACATCACATCAACAGCCTTCAATAGTCCACTGCTGGACAGCTTCATTATACAGCCAAAATTGTAGCAAGTAATTTAAAGATTTCTGGAGTTTAATATTATTGTTGTTGCACCGGGATTTAACATATTACCACATTTCTAAAAGTCAATCACTTGGTTATAATAGCAGTATTGAACACAGTAACATAACTCTGCCTTGAAGTTTTCTGTTTGTAACGACCAAATTTTTTTGACCATTCTCCGAATAGCTTGCTGCCGGTGATATTAGTATAGTTACTGGCCCCGATCGTGAGCGCTAACATTTACCTGCGCAGAAGTTGATTTTTGGATCCCTTAGGAGGTATGTAGATAAGTAGGACGGGGGATAATTTAATCATAACGTCAGCCACTGATATTGTCCTGATTCGTTTTCTTGTACTTAAGTTCGACGAGTACACTTCCGAGCAAATTGATAGGCTCTTTCTTTTTTTATTAATAATTTCATCATTTCTGCTTTCGCTATTCATCAATTTAATTTATTGGTAGTTAAACATTTAGACTTTTATGCGAGTGTATTAGATAGCCAAGTGTTGTCGCAGTGGGTTGTAGCAGCGCGCGTGTGCAAAACAAGCCTCTTCTTCTAAGCGATTTCTTTTCTTACTTTTTCTTTGGGCCATTGATGAAAATGTCAACTCGAACAAGTACGAGGTGGCAAATGGAATCAAACACTTCAAAGCCTCAGTTGTTAATTCTGGGTATTCTGATTTCCTTTTAAACCAAAAGGTATCCAAATTGACAGTCTTATATTCCAATTGCAGCATCCCATCGGCAGATAAATCCAGCAGATTTTCTTTGAGCTGCCAAATTTGCCTCATTTTTAGCTCCATTTAAAAACGGATTTAAGATCCACCTATGCCCAGTATTCTTCGATATCTCTTGCATTGCGAAGTAATGACACAGTTCTTCTTTTTGAACTTTTCTAACACCAAATTCATACCAGGTATCCGACTGCTTCAATAAAATACTGTCTCGAAGAAAATAAATCGCAGTGGTTTTGATTTAGAGACGATGACCACAAGTCAATTTTGTTTCTAAAGTTTCTGTTGTCTTGACAAGCAGTGATGACATTTCTATCCCGCCCTTGAAGACTGTTATTTAAGATATTTAAATACTCAAACAAGTCAGCAATAGAAGTCAATTTCAAGAGGAATTCCGGGTCACAAATGAATTTGGAGTATTTTGACTTGGATTGCTGCAAATACATTAAAAGTTCAGCGCGAAGTTCCAAAACTCTTGCTAGTACTTTGCCTCTTGAAAACCACCTAACCTCTGTATAATAAAGTAAATTTTGGTGGAGTACTCTCGTATCTTCACAAATTTTTCGTCTGCAACGCTTCTCCTTTAATAGAATTTACAATTTTGTAAAATAATATTTAGAACTTGACTGTATTCCTGTGGTAAGGTTTTGGCCGCAAGAACTTGGCGATGGAGAAAGCAATGCCTCCATATACGTTTGACATCTGTCCTTTCAGTCTAGCAATAAATCCACTGTTCGCACCGGGCATGGCTTTTGCTACGTCACTACAAATAGCAATACATTTCTTTTCTCAATCTAACATGTTATGCAAGTACTGGCCTGTAGTATTCGTGGGAAGGGCTTATCATAATAGTATTTCTTCCATTAAATTTTCATTCGATTCAAAACGCACAAAAGCTAAAAACTGCGCACAATCTGCAATATCCATAGATTCATCAAATTGCAAGGACACAATAGTACTTTCTTTTATTTTTTCTATGACTTGATCACGAACATCAGTCGCCATATCGCTTACAATGCGTTGAATGGTATTGTCAGAGAGAGGTATACTTTAGAGTTTTTCAACCTCTTGTTTGCCAAAAATAATCTCCGCCATATCATGAGGTTTTCCTGCTTTAGCCACACTAAGAGATACTCGATAACTAGCCAGCAACGCTTTCTCATTTACGTTGGACATTTGTACTTTAGCAGTTTTTTGATATTGAAGAGCTTTTAATTTTCTTTAAAAATAATCCACGGGTATTTTTTCATTTGGATGCTTTGTATTGAGGTGGCGTAATAACTTAGATGGCTTTCTCTTGATAAAGTTTAAAAGCAAATAACGCACTGTATTTTATTCCTAATCACAGTAAATCTGAATTTCAAATAACTGTCATCATAAACACGTTTTTTCTTTATTTTACTTTCATCACTCTTGCTAAAAGTTGACGGTTCTCTTGGTCTTTTTAGAAATTTATCTATTTTCAATCATTACAAATCTCTTCAGTTAATAGCTGAATGCCGCTAAAAAAATGTGTTTTACGTACTTAATTATGTATTTATACGAACCCCATTATGAAAATGTATAAAATATATTGGATTGAATATTTGTCTCAAAATAAAATACATGAGAAAAAAGCAATGGGTCTGCATCATCAAAGGGCCGTGTCATGAAAAAATGGAAAAGCACTGCTATAGATAATAACATGTTATTTATGTACCATTTAATTTATTTTTATTTTATATTAATTAATAGATCTTTGTCTTTATTTCAAATTTAAATTGAATTTTCAGACAACATTTTTACATATAAAATTAATTATTATTTACATTAAAATTTAGTAAAGATTTAAACCGGTTTTTGATATTTTGCATGTGGTGTTAGCCTGTAAGATATTGTTACTTAGGATTAAAAATTGAATGTAAAGTGACATTCAATTTCTAATCCTCTAAAATGTGAATGTAACGTGTAAACAATTTACCCCTAATCACAAAATGAAAAAAAAAACAATCAGAACACTGTTGTTGTTTTTTTTTCATGTCAAAAAGCCAAAAAACCTAGTTTTGGGTTGTGATTCTCAATTCATCGATATCAATCTCAACATGACCTATTTATTTTACTGTTGATTAGAATTGGGTGAAAACCAAATATCATAAAACCATAAAGGTTTGGTCACCAGAACGGATCACAACGTTGATATTGCTTTCAGAGCTTTGTCGGTGCCACATAAAAAAACATTTTCCCAGTCTATTTATAACCAAAGCCATATGAAAGAAAACGTAAATATATGTACATGATTAGGGTAATTTTTGTTGCGTTATATTCTAATGTATTTTTTTTATTTCTGATTAAATACAAAAATAGAACATCTTATACAATTTAATTAGAATAAGTAAACAGGGGAGTTTTAACACAGCGGGTAAACTTCATAATTGTTCTGCTTATAATTAGCAAAGAAATGACTTTTTGCTTATTAACTTGGTGCAATTAAACACAGCTGGTTTCGGGGCCATTAGGATATTTAAGAATAATGTCAGTGACCTTTGAATTTATTTCGCGTTTCGTTGGCCTATTTCACAATTTTTAATGGTAAGTTTTTATTAATCGTCAAAGTTTGTTATTTATGTAACTTAAACTTAAATTTAAATATTAAAACTACAAAATCAATGATAAATCATTCATACATTTATTTATTAGTTTTACAGATAGTAGATAGTCTTTGTAATACCTGTAATTCCTTGTTATGAGAATTTGAAATCCCCTCTTGTAATATGCAATAAAAAATCTGTTTTAAGGGCTTGAGCTCTGTATATGTATATTTAAACCTCCTATGTCCATCAGTGGCATCAGCGTACCCACCGTGGAGCAAGGTAGGGCACTCGCCCAACCCTGCACCTTGGCTTACACCCGTTTTTTTGTGACGAAAAATTTAAAACATTTCATGAAGTACAGGTTTCATTGTAACACCAAAATTTAGTTTTGGTAGAATCTTTACATATAAAATTACTTAACCTGACTGACTCATTTATCAACGCAGAACCGAAAATGCTCCCTGGGAGTACAAACTTGAAATTTTGCCCGTTGATGCTTTTTATATTGTAAGCACCTATTTAATTGCAAAGGATTCGTCATTTTCAAATAAGAAATAATCACGCCTGTGAAGCCGCGGGCAATAGTTAGTATTATTATGTAGGCAACAATTTTGGTGTTCTGTGGTGAAGAAGGTAGAGCTAAAATTGAGCAAACAAGGGCAATATTTGGTGACGCAACATTCAATAGTAGCCTCCTCCATTAGTTCAATATTTTTTTCATATTTCACACGCAGAATTATGCAGTACTGCTAGTACAATTAAAACAAAACCGATAATATAATTTAAGTATAATTTAATATAATTTAAATTTAAGTTAGTTAAGACTTAGCGAAACCTTAATTATATTATTATTTTATAAAATTATTATTTAAACTAAATTATATAACCTAGTGACTATAAATTCTATAGTCTGCATCATTTCTGCTTTCCACTCCCCGTAATATCCTTATGACAACCCTTTTCACCGTTAAAGTAATACGTAGGTCATTGTATAAGTTTTGAGATGCTCGAAATTTAAAAATAGAATGCATCTCATCATCATCATCATCATCATCAACAGCCTTTACTAGTCCACTGCTGGACATAGGCCTCCCCTTAGAAAGGAGGTTTTTCCTACTATACCACAGAATGCATCTGTTTTATATATATTATTAAAGGGCAAATTTATTTGAAAATTGAAGCCGCCGGAACCAGGTGTACCCTAGAAAAAAAATCCCTGAAACCGATACGAGATTAGTATCAGTCTAATGATGCGTAGATCCTTAACTAAAAAATTTAATAGGTGCTATAAAAAAAATGAAAAGATTAGAACTATTATACGATCATCATTTTTAGCTTCTTCGTCTGTTACAATGGAGCTTAAACGTGAACATTGCCGTGCTATGATATATTACGACTTTTAATGTCATTTATCTTAAGGTTTAAGGTTAGAACGTTTAAAATCAGCTTTAAGGGAGTCTGTTCCTTCAACCATTTTTAGATGGTTCAACGAATTTAAAAGGGGGGAAACTAGCTTTGAAGATGATGACAGAAGTGGACAAGTAAAGGTAAAGGCTGTAAAGGTTTTCTTGAAGAGAATTTCACCCTTGTCTTAATAGTAAATTGAGTTCCAGTAAATTAGGGAGTCATGTGAATAGATTAGAATGAACTCGAGATCGAGGGACGGGGAACTTCGGTTTATTGCTAGCTAAGTGTTATATTGATTACATAATGTTCAGCTCTCTATTTAGCGTTGATTTGCACATACATACGTGATTTGAATGTAAATTGAGTTTCTAAAGTTAATTTAGCTTCTGTACGGTATTGCCTCGATTGCTTAAATATTTTGAATTAAATTTTTATCTAAGCAACAGTGACGGTAACATTATGGCTAATGTCTATAGGTACTAAATGTGATCAAAGTGTTGTGGTTTTAACCTCCATCAGAGCAATACTGAAGTAAACCCACTTACAAGACCAGCTAAATTTATTCCGTAGTAAAGGAAAAAAGCATTGACAATTCCTTTTAACAAGCCAGAATCGTAGAAAACGTATTTAAATCATATTGAGTTAATATTAGTATTCGCTTTTTGCATGTAGAGGTATAACTGTAAACAAAAAGGCAAACATATATACATATATACAGTAACATTCATCCTTTGACTCTTGTCACGGGATCACGTTCTTTTGAATATTTAATGTATTATGTGAACTCGAAACTGTTGCAAGGTAGACTGAGAACAATAGTGAAGGAATTGGGAATACGACGACATTGTGAATTCGTGTGAGACACGTTTGATGTTGTTTCATTTATGAGTTCTCAGTGGCAGACGTGACGAGACGTTGAAATTGGTTACCTACCTATTAGTATTTAATTTGCAATGGTAACGTTCTCTAACTACGATAATTAAGATTATTGCAGACAAGTGAAAGACAAATAGCTTTAATGAAATCATCTAACTTGAATCACTTCATTCTTTATTTATGTTAATTTCCTAATACGATGCA